ATCTCATGGTTTGTGAGTTTGAGCCCTGCCTCGGGCTCTGTGCGGATGGCTTGGCTCGGAGCCTGGAGCCTGCTTCGGATTCTGTGTCTCCTCCTCTCTCTGCCCCTCCCCTGCTCACCCTCTGTCTCTCTCTGTCTTTCAAAAAATAAATAAACATTTAAAAAAATAAAAAAAAAACAGAACTGGAAAAAATCGTTAGATTTACATTATTTTTCACTGAAAATCATCTAGCCTAACCCTGGTTCTGCCCATGTCTAACCTGCATTTAATTTCCCCCGAAGTTACTACCACTGCCCAATTTGGGGGCCTCTGGGCACACTAGAATCAAAAACCTTTTCACATAGCGCCTTGGAAGCCACGGATCTTTCCAGGCAGGGGGGAGTCTCCAGCTCTGGGACAGGTCTTGCGGACAGAGAAGCAAAAGCAAACAGTGAGCGGGTCCCCTGGGTTTGGATCCCGACTCCAGTGGTTTCTGTGTGCTTGATGCTCCAGGGAAGCCGTTCTGCATTCCTAATTATGAACTTGAGTTCTCCATTAGTGCTTACCTCCCAGGATTTACAAGAAACTTCAGAAGTTTCTGGAAACATCAGCTTATAGCTTCAGTTTGGAAAACGCATTGAAAGTGGACCTGGAAGAGCTTTGAGCTGAGAAGTCAGTTGCTCGAAGGGAAACAGCAAAGATGAAGGTGGCTTGAGAGCTCAGAGCCTCTTTCTCTCTACCCTCTTGGTTTCTGTGCCAGAGCTTGCCCCCCACCCCATTCCCCTGCTCTGCTCGGCCCATGCATCCCAAGGAGGCTGACCTTCCCAGGACATCCCACACGGTGGCATCCCAAGGTGCTCTGGGCCAAAGCAAAGAGGCCTTCTGAACTCAGTTGGAGGTGACCCCCGCAGCCTATCTGTTGGGGCCCCGGGGTCCATGGAGATGATATGATACACTCAGACTCCTTCCGTTTAGTTGGCTTCTCGCTCTGTGCAAGAAATATATAAAAGCCAACAGCAAGGCTCCAGGGAAGCCGAACATTCTATTGCCTCTTCGGGGCTTTGATCCCAGGCTGCGCGCCTAGCAGGCAAAGGCTCTGTGGCCCGGAGAAGCTTTCCTGCCCCTGCTGCTTCTGCAGAGAAGGTGCCTCATGCTGGTGATATCGTTATGCCCTCTTTCATGTTACTGTTTTATTTTTAAAAGCAGTGAGCTGCTTAGTCTCTTTTGCTGCAGAGAAGAGAACACGGAGGATTCAGAGTTTGGCTTTTCCTGCGACTTAGCGGTCATGCGGTTTCCTTTGTCAGAGCCAAAGGCCGGAGTCAGGGTCCGGGTGGCCCCCTTCTGTGGTGTCTGCAGCCTTCAGACGGAGCTTGCCTCATTCCTGTCTCTGTTTGCAGCATGAGCACACCCCCTGGGGCTGGCCAGAGGCAGGTGCAGGGGCTGAGACCTTTCCAAGGTGGGGGGGGTGGGGGGGCGGGCAGGCTGAGCCAGGCAAGCAGTATGAGGTCAGTGGTACTCGAGAATCCCCATTTCCCAGATGAGGAGACTGAGGCCAGAGTGGGGGGGGGGTGTGTCCCTGTGCACAGCTAGTTAGTTCCCACAGCTAGTTAGCAGTGAAGCCAGATTGCAGCCCTTCTGGTTCTAGAGCACCCCTCCCCCGCCTTTGCCAAGGGAGGTTGAAAGTGATGCCTTCACATACTTTACTGAGCACGGTGCTTTGCCCCTTGTGATCTACTCTCCGGGCAGTGGCCACGGCACAGAGAGGAACGGGAGTCTCAGCTGGTAAATAACCTGCCTGAACTCTCAGAGCCAGGAAGCGGCCTAACCAGGCGGGCACTGCTGGGCTGGGCTCCAAGCTCGCCCCTGTCCTGGCACGGCCCGGATCCGTGTACTCCCTGGACAGGCTGTGCCCCGGGAAGCCATGGGCCCACGGGAGGAGTCTCCCGGCCCAGCTGTGAGCCTCGATGGAGCAGATGCCCGTCTGTTCACTGCAGAGAACTTTCTGTATCCCGCCCGGTGCGAGGCGCTTGAATCCATCGAGGGAGCTGCTCCCCGGCAGCCCTGACCCAGGCCTGCACCCTGAGGGCCGATTTGCCTCTAGAGTGAGCCCCAGCATGGCCTGGTGGTGACTGAAGAGCACTTGTCACTGTGCAAGAGGCCCCTCCCGCTACCGGCTCCAGAAGGCAGGGTGTTAGATGGCTGGCTATTGCACAGCAGTCTCCTCAGCGCCTTGGTCTTCACTGAAAGTGCTCTCCCTCCCAGGTCCAGACACGTGCCCTGGCTGGGGCTACTGCTGTGTCCCGTGGCTTCCTTGCTCTTCTGTCCCGGGGGTTCATTCTGTCCGTGGTCTGCAGGCTCTGGTGCATTTGGGAGGCGGCTGCGTTGTGCCGTGTCCGGGCGGACTGGGCAGCCTGCAATTCGAGATCCTGTCTCCAGACCACCACATCTTTGTCTGTCCCTGCCATGGGCCTGCCCATCGAAGGTCCGCCAGCCGGGCCTTCTCTGGGGACCTGAAAGCCATGGACTTGACCCTATGACAGAGCGCATCTTAGCTTTTAATACTGAGTCTATATATAGATCTCGAGGGAGGGGGAAAGGCTGGCCACAAAGCAGCAGAGAGGGGACCAGTGAATTTAAAGAAAACTGCATTCGGGGGGGTGCCTGGGGGAGACTCGGTCGGTTAAGCCAGCTCAGGTCATGATCTCGCGGTTTGTGAGTTCGAGCCCTACGTCGGGCTCTGTGCTGACAGCTTGGGGCCTGGAGCCTGCTTCAGAGTCTGGGTCTCCCTCTCTCTCTGCCCCTCCCCCACCTCAAAAATAAATGAACGTTAAAAAAAAAAGGAAAAATGCATTTGGGCTTGAAAAATTAAAAAACTAGGGCCATCCCTGTTTTTGGCCAGGAAAATTGATAAGCAGACTTGAGTGTAATTCGGATTTTCTAGAGAAGCTGATGTGGATGCAGGGAAACTCAGGCACTGAGGAAAGGGGTTCACATGCACCCTGGCTGTGGCCCTTGCTGCCCTGGCCCAGGGGACTTGGGGGGCAATACAGTTAGCCTATTTATAAGGGGTTATATGGACCCATTTGTCTAAATTGTTTTTCTTTCATGTTCATGTGTGTGATGTTTTTCTTAGTTTGAACCATACACAAAGCCATGTTTTCTTTGTTTAAATTAAGTGTTACTCATGGGCTCCGTCATGTCAGCCGTATTTGAATATCTCATTTGTTTTGGGGCAGGATAACTTGCGTCGAGTGAAATGTGAACCTCAGGAACGAGATGAGCAGATTTCCTTAAAAATGCATGTGTCCTGCCAGCTTGTCGCCCAGTCCTGATTGGCTCCCCCCGGGGATGTCTCTGGGGTGGCCAGGAGGTAGCAGGTGGGGGTGGTGACCTTCGCGCTGGGAGCCCCGTCTCCTGGCTGACCCTGCCTCCCCTCCTGGTGAGTGAGCTGCTGGAGGGCTGGGGAAGTCCTTGGGCGACCGCGCAGTCCCTGTTCAGGCTCCTGCGTTCACCCGGTTGCAACAGGGACTGACCCCACACAGGCCTCCTCTCTTTCCAGAAGAGTTTGCACTTGGGAAAACGGACAAAGAGGGAGCAAGAGAGCAGCAGCCACTTTGTCAGGACCTGCTCACATTCACAGATGACAGTGGGGGTGGGGGGAGGGGCTCCCGCTCCAAAGTTGCAAGTGCCTCTAGTTGCGGGGACGCAGATTTTTTTCACGGACCGGATTCAGGGAACACACGCTCGGACTCTGGGCGTCCTTGTCTTACCTGATACCCGGTCGTTGGAACACGGGAGCGGGGCTCCCTCGAGCTCATTAGCCTGAGCGTCCTGCCCCCTCCTCACCTCCTCCTCACCCGCACTGAAGTGGGGAGCCCGTTGGGGGGGCGATCGATTGCATCAGGCTCAGGGAGGGACCTGATTGGTCTGCCCAGCAGCGTGGCTTGGGGACGGGGACGGAGCTGGAGGCAGAGGCAGTTTCACCGAGAGCTGGCTGCCCGGAGGCAGTCCGCCAGCTCCCCTGCACGTCTGGACGGCCCCGAGGGGCCCAGCCGGCCGGGGACTGGACCGTGGGGACCAAACTCCCTTTCAGGAGACAGGCTCAATTTACAATGCCGTCTTGTTCCTCTGGCTGCTTTTTTCATGCTGTTGAGGTAAGATTGTGTTGCTAAGCATCACCTGTTCCCCAGAGGCTGCATCCCTATCCCTGCCGGGCTGCCTCAGGGATGGAGGATACTTACGATCTGGGAATTTATGCTGGACTGTCCCTGTGCCTGCGACCTCTTTATTTGTAGTGGCTTCAGCAGCACCTGGTGTGTAGTTTTGTAGGGGCAAGGGGCCCAAGAATGTTGTGCTGGGTTCCGACTGTGTGCCCTTCTTTTTAGGATTTTGAATTGCAGCATAGTCACTGTAACTTCCGTCAACTCTTCTTGAGCCTTATGAACGTGACATAGGTGGGGTGGACGGCAGGTGGAGACGGGAAAAGTTAGGATTGGGTTGCTGCGTTCGTGTTTGCAGTTGGTTCAACTATGGGATGTCCGATCCCGCGACCACCAGCGGTGTTCGAAATGGGTGCTGACGCTTCCCAACACAGCGGTTGAGAAACGCTCTGGCTTGGCCGCCTGTTCTGTCTTCTCAGAGGTGTCCTGGCATTTTAAAGACTTCCTGTTGTAACCTTACGTGCCCCCAGGTTGGGGGGAGGGGCGAATACCTGCCTTGGCCCTCCCAGGTTGGGGGGAGGGGCGAATACCCGCCATGGCCCTCCCAGGTTGGGGGGAGGGGCGAATACCTGCCATGGCCCTCCCAGGTTGGGGGGAGGGGTGAATACCCGCCATGGCCCTCCCAGTTGGCAGGGGGCACATTTGGCAGGTGGCCCTCCAGGCGCACCTGCTGCCCAGAAGGACAGCCCTGCAAGTGTTGGAACACTCCTCTTCTTACCTGCTCTGTTTTACGTGAGTCCAATTTTTGTTCCCTGAAGAGCCAGGCTGTTCATCCGGAAGCATCCCCTTTGTATGTTGCAGGACGTTAAAGTCTTCAGCGAAGACGGGACGAGCAGGGTGGTGGAGATCCCGGCAGACATGACGGCCAGAGACCTGTGCCAGCTGCTCGTTTACAGAAGCCACTGCGTGGACGACAACAGCTGGACGCTCGTGGAGCACCACCCACATCTGGGACTAGGTAGGGAGCACCCTGGGGTGCCTGGTGTGGTCAGGCACAGACAGCTGTGTCCCTCCGCCCCCCAGCGCCCCTGCTGTCCCCTACTCCACTGCCTTTCTGTTTCTCCAGACATGTCACCGTCTCCCCCTCCTGTCCTCCCCCGTCTGGTACTTTCGGAAGCTTGCTCTGGGGTGCTGCAAGCTGTCGCCCCCAGGGGCTCGGACCCAGCAATACCAAGACGGGGCTCTCTGTGATTTAGCTGCACACCTGTGGTCTGGGGAGGGCAGCCTGGGGGGCTTTCGGGGGAGCCCGCCTCCTGCACCGTCCGGCGTCACAGTGCAGAGAGCACTTCCGCCGCCTTCCTGGAGCGGGGTGCCGTGGTGGTGACCCCTGCAGGTGGCGGGGGAGACCCAGGGGAATCTAGGGCAATCTGCACACCACAGAGCAGCGGGCGAGCTGGAATGTCACAGTGTGTCTCTGAGCCGGCTCACAGTGTGTCCTTGGCTGAGCGCAGGCACATGGCTCTGGCTCCAGAGTGTTTCGGAATATGTACTCTTTACAGAACTTACTGAGGTTTTGGGTTCTGTGGACTTCCTTGCTCAGGTGGGCTATTGCAGATAAAGAAGCTTTTCAGACTTTGGTTTAAATTCTCACTGGGTAAAGGATGGTGCTTTTCAAAATCATGGGCACATATTTAAGGCCAGAATTTTTGTCTAAGTCAACAACTGCATCTGTTCCATGTGTTGAAGGAGAGAAAAACGACATAGATTTTCAGGTGCTTCCCGTGGTTCTAAACATTTTCCGTGAGTCTTTCTGGAAGATTAATAAGTCAAATTTACTTATTTTATTTTTTAAAGTTTATTTTGAGAGAGACAGAAAGAGGAGTGCAAGCAGGGGAGGGGCAGAGAGAGAGAGACACACAGAGTCACAAACAGGTTCCGCACTGTCAGCGCAGAGCCTGACGCAGGACTCAAGCCTGCAAACCGTGAGGTCAGGACCTGAGCCAATATCAAGAGTTGGGTACTTAACTGACTGAGGCACCTCTGACAAATCAAGTTTAAACTTCTAAGTCTGGAATGTTCCTGTATATGAATAATGTTCTCTGAAATGACACGACACAATCTAAGCCTAGATGATGTCGAGTAAATTTGAGCGGGCGTTGTTTTCCGTCACTGTGTTTTGGCCCCACTGTGTACACCCTACCGTGCTGCGCAGTGTGCGTTTCACAGTTAGCAATAAGGATGCTGATTTCTTTCCCGTTTCTGCTGATCTTCAGTGCACTTTGGGCATCAGCTGAAACCCTCTCCATCGTCTCTCTCTGGCAGCCTGCTGCCACCAGGTGTGTTCACTGGTGACACAATGCAGCTGCCGGTGACACCATCCTCAGGTGAGACATCCATGAACAGATCCTACAGGGGTCTGCCAGGGCCTCTGGAAGTATCTGTAGATGCACGAGTGACTCGGAAACTAACCAGTAGTTGGGACCCTGCAGGGTGTCTGTCCACAAACACAGGCCGTGCACACACGTGTATGGTATGTGCACGCACACGCACACGCAGAATTTAAAAACACGTCTGTGTAGTCAGACCCAACCGTGAATATCGTTGAAAGCCCATTTCAAAGTCTGAATGCTCTTAATTTGAAAGGAATTGTCGGGGCGCCTGGGTGACTCAGTTGTTCAAGTGTCCAAGTTTGGCTCAGGTCATCATCTTGTGGTTCGTGAGTTCGAGCCCCACGTTGGGCTCACCTGCTTCGGATCCTCTGTCCCCCTCTGTGTGCCCCTCCCCCACCGGTTCTCTTTCTCTGGTGTGTGCTCTCTCTTGCTCTCTCTCAAAAATAAATATTTTTTTAAACGTTAAAAGGAATTATAGAAAGGACTTCTGCAGCTACCCTAATACATGAGTATGTTTGCACACTAAAAGCACATATAAAATGGGGACAGATACACATAAAAATTGAATGTACGCGGACCTAGAGAAATTTTGACTCCTAATTTTTTGTGGTAGCACTTAATTTCTAGAACATCACACTGGAGATAAAGAATTTATGTACAGTGAAACTTGGGAAACGATCAGCCACCTGAGGAAGAATTTATTCTGAGAAGCTCCAAAAAGAGCACACAGCGTTCTCAGGGATGTGGTGTTTTTATGTTTTATTCCTTATTTTTCTTATTCAGAGATGGACTTCACACACTCTAAAGGGAGTAATACTTTATTATAAAATCAAATGAAAATGAAAAACGGGGGTGCCTGGGTGGCTCAGTCGGTTAAGCGTCCAACTCTTGATCTCAGCTTGGGTGATGATCTTGCCGTGGTTCATGAGTTCGAGCCCCATGCTGGACTCTGTGCTCTCAGTGGAGCCTGCTTGGGATTCTCTCTCTCTCTCTCTCGCTCTCGCTCTCTCTCTCGCTCTCGCTCTCGCTCTCGCTCTCCCTCCCTCTCCCTCTCCCTCTCTCCCCCTCTCCCCTTCTCCCCTTCTTCTTCTCTGCCCCTCCCCTGCTCACTCTCTACCTCTCTCTCTCTTTCAAAAGTAAATAAATGAACATTCTTAAAATGTGGGGGAAAAAAGGAGGGAGAAAGTGACATGATGGGGGGAAAAAAGACACAGAACACGTGGATCCAATCTTGGATCCTGTTGGACGGCGGGGAGCTGATGGGGTTAATTGCAGATGCCGGAAGCGTCCTCATCAGACTCCTCCTCAGAGTCCTTTCTGTCAGCATCTCCTTCGCTGTCAGCAGCCACTGGACACCTTTTCCTAATGCCTGGGTCTGTGCAGGACACGGGAGGTTTTAGAGCCACCCCGTCCGTGGAGACCTTCCGCTGTCCACGGAGCGCCTCCGCATTCCCGGCCCCAAGTCTTCTCCGTGCATTCTCCTGACCGTTTCTCTTTTAAATCTGTGAAGTTGCCTTGGAGGCAGAGATCGCATCCCTGTTTACTTCGCCCTCTAGCAGGCGTGGTCAGACGCCCCCTGGTGGGGAAGGGGACGACAGGGGGTGTTCGAAACCTCCCGGGAGCCTGTTGGAGGAGCTCTTGGTGTGTCAGTGAGGAAGCCCCGTGAGTGGGCGTGAGTGGGTGCACTGTGTACAGAACCCGTAACGGACGGCGTCTGGGGGTGCTCCTGGGTCCTGGCACACAGTCACACGACCCCCACTCCCCAGGCGTCGACAGGACCCTGTCTCTTGGGTTACGCATCGGACATGCTCTGGGGGCCTGCAGACGCACAAGGCTGGCAGTCCAGGAAAAAGGCAGACCGCGCCTGTGGACCTGTAAGGCTGGCATTAGGCAGACGGTTACCCCAGTAGTCGAGGCAAAAGTAAGCTAGTTCCAGTGGCCCTTTGAGCCTATGTGTAGCCTCCAAATTCAGGATTTCAAGGCACATTTACTATAGATCTTTGCAGCTAAAATATTAAATGCTTAGCAATACTAAATTCCTTCTACAGCCAGATAAGTGATGATTTAGAAATGGTGGTTTTGGGGACTCCTGGGTGGCTCAGTCAGTTAAGAGTCCGACTTTGGCTCAAGTCATGATCTCACAGCTCGTGGGTTCGAGCAACGTGTCAGGCTGTGCTGACAGCTCGGAGCCTGGAGCCTGCTTCAGATTCTGTGTCTCCCTCTCTCTCTGCCCCTCCCCTGCTTGTGCTCTGTCTGTCTCTCAAAAATAAATAAATGTTAAAAAAAATTTAAAAAAGGAAAGGTGGTTTTCTTTTTCTTTTTTTAAATGTTTATTTGTATATTGAGAGAGGGAACGAGTGGGAGAGAGAATCCCAGGCAGGCTCTGTGATATCAGCGCAGAGCCCATTGCGGGGCTTGATCTCACAAACCGTGTGATCATGACCTGAGCCGAAATCAAGAGTCAGAAGTTCAACCAACCTAGCCCACCAGGCTCCCCCAGACTAGGTGGTTTCCTAAATGCCTGTGCGTGGCCGTGGCCCTTGGTGGTCCCCGTGCCAGGGCCAGCCACCCAGCATTGGGAGGGGCACCATGCCCGGCAGGGGCGGGTGGGGAGGGAAGCAGGTGCGGTGACTGTGGCAGCACCTCCGTCTGGTGGGAATTCCGCTGCGCTCTCAGCTGCGCTGTTACCATAGCCGGGTCAGTGCCTTTCCTAAGCCCCGAGTCTGTTCCTGAAGTCACTAAGACTCAGGGTGGCTTCAAAAGCTGGGGCAGGGCCCTCACCGTGGGGGGCAGAGCCCTTTGTGATGGATGATCTCCGGGGAAGCCTGTTTGTGTCTCCAGCCAGCCTCTCCCTGCATGTGGACGCTTCATGTCTTGGCCTCCCCTACAAGTCCCACCTCTTGGACGAGTTGTGGCCTTGGCATTTTGTGCAGAGCTCTTAGCCTTGCGAACACAGTCCCTGACCAATGCCACTCAGCAGCCATCAAGGCCAGCTGGAGGGGCCGGTGCCGGACAGTCATCTTGGAAGGCATTGCCATGCCGTCTGCCTGAGCCCGTGAGCTGCAGGTATCGAAGTGGCTCGCTGTAGCCAGGACGCCATCACACGCAGAGGACGCGGGGAGATTTAACAGTCGGCCTATGGCTATGTCAAGTAAACTAATTTTTTATTCATTTTTGTCAATGTTTCTTAGAGACAGACAGCAGGGGAAAGGCAGAGAGAGAGGGGGATGGCGGACCCGAAGCTGGCTCCATGCTGACGGCAGAGGGACAGACGTGGGGCTTGAGGTCACGACCTGAGCCGAAGTCAGAGGCGTAACTGACTGAGCCACAAACTACTTTTGAAAAGAAGTTTGTAAAACCAGAAGTTTGTAAAGAATGTGACTTCCGGTAGACCGCATCCCTGGGAGGGGCTCCCCTGAGTGACCACGGGCATCAGGGCAGACATGACCGGGAGAGCCTGGACCTCACGCACGCACGCACAGGAGAAGATTGCTCCCTCGAATTTCAGGGATTTGTTTTTCGAATCAGGTTGAAGCCCTCCAGGGAAAAGCACGAGTTCTGTCTTTGGGCTGTTGAAGGCTGGGTGCCTGAACCTGGCCAGTCAGGGAAGGCGTGGCACTCACCCTTTGGAGGCATCGGCCGCAACAGTGACGCTGACATCTGGACGTGGGGACAGGCATTGAAGGAGAATCCGCAGGCACATTCAGCCGTCCGTGCTCAGGAGGGCCTCCGAGGGCCGATCTTTCCCATGTCTGTCTCTTTGTCGTTATATCTCAAAGGCACCACAGTGATGTCCTTTCCCCACTAAAATACGTGCAGAGAAGGAAGGCATCTTATCAGTTGTGTCCAGACATTGGAGTTGCTTTCTGTGGTGACTTCACAGCCCTGCAGAGCCCCGAGCAGCTCTGCCCTCCGCGGAGGGTACGGAAGCAGGCAGTGAGGCGGGTGCTGACGCCAGCCGGGGCGGGTGGTGGTCAGGCTTCTGCTAAGGAGTCATGTATCCATGGCACATCTTAAAGGCACATTTACTTCTGTAATAAGATCTGCCTTTTTGAGCTGCCTGGTCTTTAAATATTTTTCACGTGGAGTAGGGGGGTGGTGTGGATGCTGGAGTAGAGGGGTTTGAACTGACGTTGTGGTGGCTTTTTAACAGCTGGGAAAATGTGCGTGTGGACACCCAGCTGCCGATGGAGGCCGGACGGCTCTTGGGTTTCTGAGAAGGGGTCACACACAGTCTTCCTGAGCCCCTGTGGTCCGGGGCACCGGGCACCCTGCAGGCTGGGAAGGGAAAACCTTTGCTGTCACCTATGGGTGCCTGAGCCCCCCACACCCCCAGGGACACCCACAGTGACCCAGCGCCGAGAGGCACGTCCCTTTCAGCTTTTAAGTAGATGCCAACCTGAGCCAATCCACTTTTTGGAAAGTACGCATATTGGTTGTGATTGCGTGCTTGAGCCGGGCACTGCTCTCCTGTCCTCGGGAAACGTAGCGCACAGTTTGGGGTCGCCTATCGCCCGCAAACTCCCTCTGCAGCAGGAACAAGGGGACCCGTTAGTAGCTCTCTGCTGGTGGAATTTCTGGCCGTCGTGGGGAGGAAATTCCTTGACTTGGCAAATTCGGGCTTTAAATACATTTTTGCCCAAGAACCCTGTACTTGTTACATTGTAGTGGAGGCTGCCATGGCCTTGAACATGTACACGGGTTCTTCCACATTCTGAGATGGTTCTGACTCAGAAACGCTCTGACTCCAGACTTCATCCTTCCCGCAAGGGGAGACTTTTCTAGGGACTCCACTCTGGCCGGGGGAGAGGAGGAGGGTGCCACGGAGGACCCACATACCCCATTGTGCCATTCTGTAGCATCTTGTTCTCTGCCATTTTGGCATCGATTCACGCGTCAGGGCCGCCATGGATTTGCTCTGTTACATATTCCATTAATTTGCATGGTTGGTTTCCGGTCTTTGAGGAGACACATGGGGGGCTAGGGTGACCCATCTGAAGAGGACGGTGCCACGTGCAGTTCTTTGTGTGCCACGTGGAATCACAGTGTCCACAAGGGAGGTACCTTTCCAGGTTGATAACACTGCAAAGTCAGGTGAAGTGTGTGTGTGTGTGTGCGCGCGCGCGCGCACGTGTGCACGCCAGTCAGAAGACCTCGCTTGCATCTGGGAGTGCATTAAAGAGAGATTTAAGTATTTTTTTTTAATGTTTATTTTTGAGAGAGAGGGAGCGCTCCAGCAGGGGAAGGGCGGGGCAGGGGGGAGACGGACAGAAGACCCAAAGTGGGCCCCGGGCCGTCAGCACAGAGCCCGTTGCAGGGCTCGAACCCACGAACCGTGAGCTCATGACCTGAGCCGAAGTCGGACGCATAACCAACTGAGCCGCACGGGCACTCCAAAGGGGGATTTAAATTTCATCTAGTGCTGGACTTGCTTGTTCGCCGTGCAGGAAGGGGAACGGAAAGCTAGCGAGATTTCATAAATGATGGTCCAGCCAGCCGGCAGGCTATACCCATTTCGTCTCACATGTACGTTTTTCCTCTGCAGAAAGGTACCTGGAAGACCATGAGCTGGTGGTCCAGGTGGAGAGCACCCTGGCAAGTGAGAGCAAGTTTTTATTTAGGAAGAATTACGCAAAATACGAGTTTTTCAAAAATCCTACGGTGAGTCTCTTTTCTCTTTGGGTTCGGGGTTTGGGACTCTTGAAATCTTCTGGTGGATACTGGGGACTGATAGGAGAAGTGATACAGTAGCAGATGGGAACCTGAGTTGCTATTTCACGGAGCAGTACTTGCCCTAAACCTCATCTCTGGTGCTTTAACTACATGCCTGAGTCCTGGCCGGAGGTAACTGGTGCCTTCCTCTAGGTAACAGAGGGAAAGGGGGTTAGCCTCTGGGTCAAGAGAGATGAGGGGCGGCTTTTTCAGTTAGAGCAAGAGCTCATGGTTAGATAGGAACAAATCGGTTAAACACTCAGCAGAATAAAACCTCATTATGCTCTGCAGATAGCAAATAATACTGTGCGGTTTGTGGAAGTGGGCATTTCCAGACACACTGGGTTGGTCTTCTCGATCTTCCTTTCCTTTCTGTTGTTGGGGATGTGGGGGCCACTACTAGTCCAGTGAAGTATCAGCTCCGGGAGACCCCTGGCTGCCACAGCATGGGCTCCTGTCCCGCGTCACGAGGCTGAGCAGCCATGACGTGGGCAGAAGACCTACGGTCCACTTCTGGCTCAGGTGGTTTAGCTGCCTTTTTTTTTTTTTTAAATTTTTTAAAATGTTTTATTTATTTCTGAGAGAGAGAGCATGAGCAGGGGAGGGTCAGAGAGAGAGGGAGACACAGAATCTGAAACAGGCTCCAGATTCCGAGTTGCCAGCGCAGAGCCCGACAAGGGGCTCGAGCCCGTGAACTGTGAGATCATGACCTGAGCCGAAGTCGGACGCTTAACCGACTGAGCCACCCAAGGGCCCCATAGCTGCTTTTTTTTTTTGCTTAACAGTTAGAAATTTGATAACTGATTTTTCATAATGCACCAAAAGAGACTTTTTCACATCTGTGAGTTTTGAGGTCTGTCTCATGACGCTCACTGAGTCCTGGCGGCGTGGCGGCCATTTGCCTTGCTGTGTGCTGGAGGCGGGAGGCAACATTTAACATGACGGATCCTCCAATCCCAAACTTACCGTTTAAGGAAACAGTCCAACCTGTAGAAGCAGGCGTTTCCATCGCGGGATAAGGGAATAAGGACAGTGTTTTCTTTTCTTTTCTTTTCTTTTCTTTTCTTTTCTTTTCTTTTCTTTTCTTTTCTTATTTTATTATTTTATTTCATTTTTTATTTATTTTTATAATTCCATTTTGCTTCATTTTATTTTCTTTCATTTTCTTTCATTTCATTATTCATTTTTCTTTTTTTTTTAAAATATTTTTATTTATTTCCAGGAGAGAGAGAGAGAGAGACAGCGTGAGCAGGGGAGGGTCAGAGAGAGAGGGAGACACAGAATCCAAAGCAGGCTTCAGGCTCTGAGCTGTCAGCACAGAGCCCGATGTGGGGCTCGAACCCACTAACCGCAAGATCATGACCTAAGTGAAAGTCAGACGCTTAACTGACTAAGCCACCCAGGCCCCCCTCATTATTCATTTTTCTTATTTTATTTTAGTTTTTAAAAATTTTAAATTTTATTTCTTTTCTTTTTTTTTCCGGAATATATTATTTATTTTTGAGACCGATAGCATGAGTGAGGCAAGGGCAGAGAGAGGGAGACACAGAATCCGAAGCAGGCTTCAGGCTCTGAGTGGTCAGCACAGAGCCTGACAGGGAGCTTGAACCACGAACTGCAAGATCATGACCTAAGCCGAAGTGGGACACTCCACCGACTGAGCCACCCGGGTGCCTCTCTCTTAATTTTTTTTTCACGAAAGACCGTCACTTTAAATACAGACGGACGCCCGCATGCCCATAGGCATGCTTGCAGTACTGGCACACCTGGGAGGAAGCTTCCCCCCAACTTTTCAGCTAACCTTGACTATGTGTGCTTTCCCATTTCCCTAGAATTTCTTCCCAGAGCAGATGGTGACTTGGTGCCAGGAGTCAAACGGCAGTCACAGCCAACTTTTGCAGGTACTGGGCACGGAGAGACTGGGCCGAGCGGGTGGGTGGAGGTCCTTATGCCATGGTGGCTCTGAGAGCCTTGACGGGGCTGCGTTCTTCACCCCTTTTGGCCTCGGCCCCTGCTGGCATTCTGAGTAACGAGAAATGAATGTTGACCTGGGAAGCGTGTGTGCAGCCAGGCTCCTTGCAGGCGAAACAAGCGCTTGTAAACAGGATAAGCTTTCTCCGGATGGGAGGGAGGGCAGGAGGGAGAAGTCCCGGGCTGGCGGTCTCCTCGAGGCTCCGGGCTCCTCTGGGGCACGGGTCCCGGGTCCGGCCACCGCCCTGGGAATCTCTACATACTGAGTCCACTTCACCGTGAAAAAGGACAGGGCTGCCTTTAAAGTCTAACATGTTGTACATCGTACATGCTTTTGTACCTGTCTTAATGGCCCCTGGGCCTCCTAAAGTCTGTTTCCAGGAAAGCTTGGCCTTCCCGCAGCCCCCTCCCAGGGCAGGGAGGCTCCGGGGGCCCCCGCACCGGCTGCTGGTCCCACTCATCCAGGGAGGTCGGGTAAGGGACTAGTATTACTGCAGTGCCCCCCAAAATGTGTCCATTTATAGCATATTCAGTGAGAGAATACACCACTCAGGGCAGTCAGTACTCTCCGGGTGGCATCAAATAGCAAAGACACCACTAACATTTAGTCTCTACAACATTCTGCCCCCTGCCCTTCTTCTGCTCGCTGGATCACCAGGTCTGTTTTCAGCTCCCGAAAGGTGGGGGCTCCAGGGCTCCGGTGTCCGTTCCGGAGCCCGCCGATGTAGTGTCACCCGACCTTGTGCGCAGTGAGGGTGAGATGGCTCATTGCATGGTCTGAGGCGGCTGGTTTGCACAGTGGGGGTGCACGGGGATCTCTTGAGGGGCATTACAATGGTGTCCACTGGCCTGTCCCACCCGTGGGAGGAGCCGTGTCCTCTCCCAGTCCACTGGGGAGGACCCACCGAGGTCACGGCCCCCACTTCGCTCCCAGACCGGGCTCTTGACCTCTGTTTCCGAGACAGAAGGATGCGCTGCTCGTGGGATTGGCTAGCTGGGACAGTGGCGTCACCTAAGCGTTCCTGGAGCGATCGTGCGATAGCACGCTTTTCCCTAGACGGGCTCGGTCCACACTGTTCCCGGCACTTCCTGTCCCCTGATGATCAGACTGGCCCGTCTTCTGGGAAATCCATGCCTTCATGGTTTCCATCAGTGTTGAAAAGGTCCGCTGGCTTGTGTGTGTTCAGATGCTAATTATGTTTCCCGCCACAGCAAGCCAGGCCGAGTTTTAAGATTTTTGAAAGGAAAATTATCATTTGAAAATGCTTGGTCTGACCCAAGAAGGGTGTTTATGTAATTAAGCAGATGTCGGGATGTCAGCGAGGCCAGTACGACACACCTGCACCAACGTGTGGCCGCGTTGTCCGACTTTTAAAACTGCTCTTCCGCAGAACTTTCTCAACTGCAGTAGCTGTCCTGAAGTCCAAGGGTTTTTGCATGTGAAGGAGCTTGGGAAGAAGTCGTGGCGAAAGCTGTACGTGTGTTTGCGGAGGTCGGGCCTTTACTGCTCCACTAAGGGGGCGTCAAAGGTGAGTTCGTTGTTGGTTTTGGGTTGTTTTTTTTTTATTTTTTTATTTTTTATTTTTATTTCTAGGAGAGAGAGAGAGAGAGACAGCGTGAGCAGGGGAGGGTCAGAGAGAGAGAGAGTCACAGACTGAAACAGGCTCCAGGCTCTGAGCTGGCAGTCAGCACAGAGCCCGACGCGGGGCTCGAACCCACGAACCGCGAGATCATGACCTAAGCGAAAGTCGGACGCTTAACTGACTAAGCCACCCAGGCGCCCCATTAATGTTTCTTTTGAGAGTGCGAGCGAGGGGCAGAGAGAGAGAGTCCCAAGCAGACTTCACACTGTCTGTGCAGAGCCCGGGGCAGGGCTCAACCTCACAAACTATGAGATCATGACCTGAGCCGAGATCGAGTGTCAGACGCTTAACGGACTGGGCCTCCCGGGCCCCCCAAAGGCAAGTTTTAAAGCCACCCCCGCCTCCGTCACCCCAGGCCAGGAGTGTTGAGAGTGGACTCAGCTTCGCTTTAAGGTGCGCTGGAGGGTCCTCCGAGCTCGTGATAACTTGAGAGGCTAACTCCGAGCTCCAGGCCGGCTCTTCTCTCCCAGAAAGCAGGCGACAACACAGACAACACGTCATTGCTGGTCCCCCCCCTGCCTCCGGCCCCTGCTGGCCAGCCTCAGCCCCCCCTCGTGGCTTGGGAACAGAGCCTCCCTGGCAGCCTGCATCCCCGAGGTGCTGCCTCCATTTCTGTAGTTTGCAAGTGAGCATCCAAGCTGGCCGTACGGACGGCCAACTGGTTGCCACCAGTCTCATACACGCTAATGTAGGTATTTTGGGGAATGCGTTGGACTTCTGCACGATTTCCAGTGGGAAGAGAAGGTGAGATGGAGAAAACCAGATGCAGGTCTCCAAAGAGAGTTGGGGCGCTGGGGGCTCACCTTGCTGGGTTGCCCGCGGTGCCCATACACAGTCCTGTCTACCCTGTTCTGATGACATGCCTGCAGCAGAGGGCGCTCCTCAGAGAGCACCCCCAGGGAACCGCAGTCTGCTCCCTTCCTGCTGGGAAGGAGGGGGGAGGGGCTGGCGGGGCCCCAAGCAGAGCGAAGGGGATTCACGGTGAGGGCTGGGTGACTTTGGTCTGAACTTGGTGCTTACTTTACACAATGGTTGCACCCTGTGGACGGCAGAGAGGAAGGAGATGCACTGAGCGTGTGCACAGACGTTGACGAACGCATGACGTTGTTTGCTCTTGGCTGTGCCAGAGACGTTCTCCCCTGTGACTCTGACCCCCCTTTTCCCAGGAGCCCAGACACCTGCAGCTGTTGGCGGGCTTGGAGGACAGCGGCATATTCTCCCTGATCGCCGGCAGGAAGCAGTACTGTGCGCCCACCGACTATGGCTTCTGCATAAAGGTGCCCGACCCGCCGTGTCCCAGGGCTGCCCCGCCCCTGCCCTGCCCCGGGGGCTGCCGGGCACCAATGGCATTAGGCTGCAGACTTGGGAATCAGACAGCAAACTCCTGCCTTGGGGTGGGGGAGGATTGGTTTATTTTCCAACAGTTTTCCAGTGGATTTACTCATCGCTCTGTACTTACGATGTGTCCATCCTTGAGTAGCTGGCGAATCAGGGAGAAGCAGAGAATATGATGGATAATGCATGTCGATGGGCTCAGGGGCTTAGTGACCTGCACCCCATCACGTGGGTGGCCTCCAGGGTACCGAGGGAGCCCATACTGTCTGTAGGAGCTTCTAGTCAGCAGGATAGTGTGTGTGCCCATGCACTGTCCTGTCTCTGTACACATGTGTGTGAGAGAGCACATGTTCACATATATTTCAGCGCATGCACACGCACACCCCCATGTGAACACACAGATATACATACATACGTCCACGTGCATACACACACATACACATCTGCACACACCTACATGAACACAGAGATGCACAAATACACATGCACACACACACATGCAAGCGCACCTACATCAGTACAGGGAAGCACACACATGCATACATGTACACATACATATGCACACACAAACCCGTGCATACACATGCACACTCATACACAATATGCACACAAATACATGCACACACAAAGCATGTGCACACACATCTACACCTACATGAATACAGATGCATGCACACACACACGTAACATGCACACATGTGAACACACCTACACATAGTATGTGCGCCAACGTGAATACAGATGTGCACACACATACACATAGTATGCACACGGATGTAAATACAGATGTGTGCACATGCACACACGTGTACACATGCACACTTGGGCATATGTGTGCTCATGCACACCCACCCCTGGAGAGGCGTGGTGATGTTGGTCACCATCACGGCAGTGCTGTTTCCTGCACGCTAACTGTGCACGAGGCGTTCTGCTCAGGAACCCCCTCCGCCGTCTCCTGCATCTTCCCAGGTGCCCAGCAGTGGGACTGGAACCAGCCCCAGTGCTCACATCTGGCCGCCTGGAGTCCCCCAGCCAGGCTGACTGCTGAGCCCAGGCTCCACCCCATCCCAAGGACAGGTCCGGGAGTAGGGGGCACGTTGCTCCCCAAATAGCAGCTTCTGCTTCACCTGGTGAAGCTTCTTGGGGTCTTGAGTACTAGGAGCCCTAGGCCCCGAGGTGCAGGGGAGGTGCCACGAGGGCGGCCTCGGGAAGGGCTGCAGCGGGTGGTGGGGGGCCATTGAACCTCCAGTGGCTGGTGTCTCCCTTCCCCCGCCCAAGCCTGTAGTGGTTCTCCCCCATCGCTAGGTAAACCCTGCTGTCCCTGCACGGTGGCAGCTGTAACGGTGAGGCCCCGCCTACCCCAGGCTGCTCGTCCCCTCCAGTCCTCTTCTCTAAGGTGACACCAGCCCTCTCAGGGCCACCCGTGGGCCATCCTTGGGGCCACTCAGATAGGCCCTCGGGGGCTTCTCCCCTGACTGGCTGAGCACCGCAGGGGCCCTTCCTCAGCTGCTACCTCGGTCCTCCTGGGAGGTGACCGGACATCTCTGCACCCAGGCTCTCTTGTCGAGACCAGCCTTCCCTCCGCAGAGCAGGACGCCCCCTGTCCCCGTGGCACCCACCGCCTTGTCCTGGGAGGGTTTGCGGGCCTGCGTGTGTTCTCTGAGTCCCCCTCTGGTGCACCCAACCCGGCTGCTGGGCGCCTGCGCTGCTCTCATGCGGGCGTGTTCCACACCGGCCGTGTCACGCTCGCTTACCTCCTTCAGCCCAACAGAGTCCGGAGCGAGACGAAGGAGCTACGGCTGCTGTGTGCCGAGGACGAGCAGGGCAGAACGTGCTGGATGACTGCGTGCAGGCTCCTCAAGGTAGGTAGCCGCTCGTGCCCACGGCCCGGGGCGCCCGCACGTCTGTCCGGACGGCGTCTCGACGCTTCTTATGGAGGCTTCGCGGTAGAGAGGTCAGAGCCATGGTGCCCGGGTGGCTCTCGGTTCAGCATCTGACGGGTGATTCCGGCTCAGGTCATGATCTCACGGTTCAAGAGTTCCAGCCCCACGGTGGGCTCCGTGCTGACAGCATGGAGCCTGCTTGGGATTCTGTCTCCCGCTCTCTCTGCCCCTCCCCTGCCCCCCCCTCAATAAATATTTACAAAAAAATCTTTAGAAAGGTCTGAGCCAGCTTTTGACTCAGGCTCCAGGGACGTCCAGGGACGTTGTGGGACGTTGAGCAGCATCCCTGGGGTCTCCCACGCAGTGCCACCCCTTCCCCCACCCGTGGAGACAACCGGGATCGTCTCCCTACGTAACCAAATGGCCCCTGGGGCGTAGGAGCCAGGAACCGCACAAGGTGAGAGCCGAAGGTCTAGAGAACCGGGAACAGAAAGATCAGACCGGGACAGAGCACGCCGTTTATCAGGAGGCATGATTATTTCCGAGACTGAACGTTGGGCTCTCACCTTCCTGAAAAGCCGGGGCCTCAAGGGAAACGTGGCACACCGTGCAGCTCGCCATAGTTCCCCAAGGACGTAGTGTCTCCTGACGACACGTTCTAGAAGGAATCTGTCCCACTGGACCTCAGAGGGGATAACACCCTCGAGAGCGACTTGATAGCATTTACCAAGATGATTCCACTTGGCTGTTCAGTCAAGGTTAAGCTCGTGACCGTAGAGAACACCTCACTTCCAGTTTCTCCCACAATGTCTCTCTGGGCCCATACACACCTCTCGTGTCTGCACTTTCTACAAGTTAGTTGACCGAGATGAACATCAAGGGGTCTGCAGGAGAAGTTCGTTGGGTTGGCTCTGGCCGACCCCGGCAGGGCGTCTAGGAATCTCTTTACGAGAACCCCAGCCTTCACCGAAGCTTCAGCTGGGCAGAGTCAGGGCGGAGCCACTGACGGAAATGGAGGAGAAGGAGGAAGCATAACCTACAGCCCCTTGGAGATGCCAGAGAACATAAGCTCCAGGGGTGGCATCCGTTAACTTCTTCCCCAGAACCAGATCTTGTTTTATTTTTGCTGCCGATAAAACCATAAACGGATTAAACCTAAAATGTTACTATTATTTCATAACAGGGTAAAGGTTAGCATTGGTACCGGATACCGTAAATCGTAGACGACTCCTTTACGAGCCAGCTTTAAATGTGACTGGATGTCCCTTTAGGGGAACACTCCTCAGTCATAAAAGGAACAACGTTCTCTCGGGATCGTGGGAGAATTTCCAGGAAGTGTTATTAACCGTTAAAAACCAAAGCACTACCTTTGTTGTAGGGGTGCAGAAAGGAAAGCTATGTATGTTGACTCGTGTGCGTGTGAGCATTTGGTAAGAGGGCAGGAGAGGGCACGCCCGGGCTGCTCAGTCAGTTGAGCGTCTGACTCCTACTAATTTTGGCTCAGGTCGTGATCCGAGGGTCATGGGATCGAGCCCGGCATTGGGCTCTGCGCTAAGCGTGGAGCCTGCATCGGATTCTCTGTCTCTCTGTTTCTGTCTCTCTCTCTCTCTCTCTCTCTCTGCCCCTCCCCTGCTCATGCGTGTTCTCTCTCTCTCGCTCACTCTAAAATAAAAAAAAAAAAACAAAAAAAACACAAAAACCTGCAGGAGTGAACAGAGGCACGGTGGGCCCAGACCTGCACGTGGGGGTGGCCGCGAGAGGGAAACGTGGAGCTCCATGTGTTTGTGTGGATCCCTGCATCTGCGGACACGGGAGGAAGCAGGAAAGGCGTGAGCTAGGACGCGGGACACGTGTGGCGCTGTGGGTTTTACGACTTTGGGTAACGCACATGACTCCCGGTAGCGAGGTCCTCCCATCGGGGCCATGCGGGAGGACGTGGGGCGGGCAGGACAGGGCTGTCCTTGCGTGCCAGCGTGACAGGACCCGGCAGGGAAATGCGCAGAGGAGGCAGTGACACTGACAACCAACCGACCTTGTCATTAGCGCTGACGAGAGCGTCCCGTCCGATGTTGGCGTGATGCTCTGAACGTTTGTGAGCACGCGCTGCGGGCCAGACGCCTCGTCACTTCGTACCTGTCCCCTCCTCGTACGGATGTGCTGTCATTGTCCTCGCTGTGCCGATGACACCCCAGAGCCCACGGGGTCCTGCCCACATGCGGCACAGTCAGCACTGGGACCCAACGCCTGGCTCCGGAGCCGGCCATCACACCTTGCCCCCCTCTCTGAGGGCCAGAAGAGGGGGAGGCACGTCCACGTAAGCCTGCGTGTGGCCCCGGGGCCTCCAGTGACCCCAGACTCCACGTCCCAGAGGCCACTCCTTTTTTTTTTAAAGTCTGTTTATTTATTTATTTATTTATTTTATTTATTTTTTAATGTTTATTTTTGGAGAGAGAAAGATCATGAGCAGGGGAGGGGCAGAGAGAGGGAGACACAGAATCCAAAGCAGCCACAGAATCTGAGCTGTCAGCACAGAGCCCGATGCGAGGCTCGAACCCATGAACCAGGAGATCATGACGTGAGCTGAAGTTGGACACTTAACCACCTGAGCCACCCAGGCGCCCCCCAAAGTGCCATCCCTGTGGGAGGCTGGGGGCCTAGACTTCATGGCCACTGTGGCCGGAACAGTGAGCCAGTGTCAGGGTCACGGAGTTGAGTTGTGCCTTCTCAGCTGGTCACGCACCCAGGTGCTTTGCCGTGACCGAGCAGGCTGCCGGACCGCTCCTGATGTGAGAATTCCTTACTTAGCTGCCCCCGCTCCCTGCCCCATCTCAAACTCTCTCGTTCTCAGAGCAGGAAGCGTCATTAAAGCCCAGGTTCTGCATCATCAGCCCCTCACCCCGCACCCCAGCATTCGGAATGGGCTGTATTTTGTTCCAGGGGTTGTGGCCGCTTGAAGCCGGTGAGGGGGTGGGGACATGGTAAAAAGCCTCCTGTGTCCTCAGCTGGCTCCCGTCCTAAATTCCTGGGTGTGAGCAGAGACTTAAGTCCCTCGTCTGTCCGTCTCCCTGACAGGACACTCAGCAAGCCACAGGGAACCTGACCAGTGCTTGCCCTGTGCCAGGTCACAGTCTGGGCGTCACCTTGCCTGGCACCCTCCTAAGTCCTCTGGGAGAGCCAAGATAGCCTTGCACTCAGAACCTAATAGATGCTCAGAAAAATGGAGGTTGTCTGCAGGGGTGTCCTGAGCAGTGCTGAATGACCCCCCGCCTCAGGCTAGCAGGGTCAGCGGGTGGGGCGGGGAGTCTAGAATTCCCTCCGAGAGTCCAGGTCTCCTGCCTCTAGGGGCATCCCCCGCACAGACTGAGGGGTGTGGGCTGCACCTGTTCACAGACGTGGGGTTTTATCTGCAGTGAGGAATGGCAGCCTCCTCCCCTTCCCGCCCCACCAGCGCTAGCCTCAGACTGTCCCGTCCCCCAGCAGGGGGTCCGGTGTGCGTGTCCTTATGCGGAGGGAGCGAGAGGCGCACAGGACTCCGTGTTCTGCAGCACACGTCAACCTGGGGGTCCCTGACGCGCGAGCAGAAAGTGTTGCCTTTTTGCTGGCCCCGTGTGTGCGGGAGTCATTCCTGAATGTGGTTAATACTATAAGAGCGATGCGGGTTGCATGAAAATCCCAGGGCTTTTTTAAGAGGAACACCTTTTTAAAAAACAATTCTATTAAGTATTTTAATGTTCATTTATTTATTTTTGAAAGAGAGAGAGATTGTGAGTAGGGGAGGGGCTGAGAGAGGGGGAGCGAGAGAATCCCAAGGAGGCTCCACGCTGTCAGCCCAGAGTGTGATGTGGGGCTGGATCTCACAAACGGTGAGATCATGACTTGAGCCAAGATCAAGGGTCGGATACTTACCAAGCCACCCGGGTGCCCCTATTTATTTACTTTTTAAGGTTTATTTATGTTTGAGAGAGAATGTACAAGCAGGGGAGGGGAGGGGCAGAGAGAATCACAGGCAGGTTTCGGATGCGGGGCTCGAACTCAGGAACCGTGAGATCATGACCTGAGCCGAGATCAAGAGTCAGCTGCTTAACCAACCGAGCCACCCAGGAACCCACCCCCCATTCTTAAATTTTAAAGTCAAAAGGAAATGTTTACCAAAAAAAACCCTTAAAATTGATTGAAAAATCCAGAAGGAGTGATACAACCACATTTAAAAAAAATGAGTTTCTGTAAGTTTTCAGGAATGTGTAAGCTCTGTGCTGTGCGTGGGGGTGTGGTGGAGGTGTGTGCGGGGGTGCTATGCTCAGAATCAGGGGGCTGTGCGCAGGGGTGCTGCTCCAGGGCTGTCCTGTCCCTCAAGACCCTGCTCGGGCGTGGCCTCTGGAGGAAAGACTTACCCCTCACCATGCCCACGATTAGGGTTTCCTCTCCATTAATAACCGTGTCCCGTCGGCGCTCATCTGGGATCTAGAGGTAGAAAGCACATCCCCAGCTCCATCTGCATCCCTGGAGCAGAGTCCGGCAGCTTGAATGAGTCCTTCTCTGGGCATGACCCTACACCTTTGTGCTGTCTTTGCACAAAGGAAGAAACTGACATTCTCTCTCGCTCGAGAATGTCAAGGTTAAGTGTTCAATTACATTCCAAGAGAAAGGGACCTATGTGTTGTTAGTTGAGCTACCATGGCGTTCAGCACATTAGCATTGCAGAGGAGGCTGCTTGCTGACAGGGTGCACGCTGCCTCTGGACAGGCAGGAGCGGCCCCTCGCCTTAGTGTCAGGACATCTCAGTAGTGTCTCTCCATATACCGTTTTGAAAGGGATCCCTAGATCATTGAATTTAAGCCTTTCATTTTCAACTGTGTTTCAGACTAAAAACTTGCTCTTTAAATTCTAGTTTAGTTGCTGTTTGTCATGTTGGTATAGTTACTGGATTCAAAAATAACATGTACATATGTGAACATACACACTGCACACGTTTCTGTCTAGATAAATACATATGCATATACATGTGTGTGTTTTTAAATCAGACAAGTTCAGAAAGATTTAAGCCTTCTTCATATTGATTCTTTGGCCCTTCCAAATTACCTTGCTTTATTGTCTGCATGGGACTTCTTGCCTCTAAGTCTGACCCAGGCGACATTACCCTGGCTACGTCGGTGTTTCCTGCTTAGTGGTCACACTGCTTTCTCTTCTTGTCTCTGCTGCCTTTCTGAGTCTTTATGCTCAGGGCGGGTCTCTTACAAACATAATGTAATCGACTTTCTTCTCTGATAATCTTCATGTTCTCTTTGGAGTATTTGTTGGGAAGCCTAGCATTTAAATTACTAATATTCGTGCTTAAATCTGCCATTGGCTATTTTCACTTTGTCCTGTCAGCCTGTCTTCTCCATTAAAAAATTTTGGGGGGGTGGGCCTGGGTGGCTCAGTCGATGAAGCATCTGACTTGGCTCAGGTCATGATCTCACTGTTGGTGAGTTGGAGCCTCGCATTGGGCTCTGCTGACAGCTCGGAGCTTGGAGCCTGCTTCAGATTCTGTGTCTCCCCCTCTCTCTGTTCCCCCCTGGCTTACGCTCTGTCTCTCTGTGACTCTCAATAATATGTAAATGTTAAAAAATTTTTTTGGCAGAGGAGACTCCTCAATTATTTTTATGTATTTTTTCTTTATTTTTCTTAAAGTTGATTTATTTTGAAAGAGAGCAGGGGAAGGGCAGAGAGGGAGAGAGAAAATCCCAATCAGGTTCCCCACTGTTGGCACAGAGCCTGATGTGTGGCTTGATCTCACAAACCGTGAGATCATGACCAGAGCAAAATCGAGAGTCGGAGGCTTAAGCGACTGAACCCCCAAGGCGCCCCTGTTGAGCACTTTTATTCTGGAAACGAGGACACCCTGTGGGATTGGAGCTGGGAATGTGTTACCCCCACGCAGGAGATGGGGAGGAAGCCGCAGCCCTCTTGATAACCGTGTCCTCGCTCGACCTTCTTCCTTGCCCATGTGGTGGGAGCCGGGAACTGGAGTGTGGGCTGGGTGGCTGCAAGTGCAGAGGACCCTGCTTCTCGCCAGGGCACAGGTAGCATGAACCGCCGAGCTGGCCGGGCGGTGAGCTTGGTGCTTGGGAAGAATGCTGTTGGGCACAGGCTATGTGCCTTCGAATTCAGATTCCTTTCTTGACCGTGATCCTGAGCGGACTGGCCTCACTTCCCTGTTCACATCCGTGTCAAGCAGGGACAGAAGACACATTCCCTAAAATGGAGACAGCAGCATAAAACACTTGGGACAGTACTTGACCCATAGCAGCATTCGGTGGGGTCGATTGTTCTCGATTGATTGTCACTGCCTGCTTATCCCTTGCCCAACAACGTGGGTGAGCCTGTCGGCCAGTCACGTCTGGGAGGGGGCGGTGGTGACATCACGCAGGGCCGAGGCAGTGTGCTGCGTCACACATGTGTTCGTCGGCCCACAGAGGCGACTGGGGCACCGCTCAGCAGCGCCCTTCACCGCCGCAGGTTCGCCACGTCTGGGGGGCGGGGGGCTCACGTGGCCCCGGTGACAGACTCTGGCCTCTCCCCGCAGTATGGCACGCTCCTGTACCAGAACTACAGAATCCCGCCTCAGAGGAAGCCCTTGCTCCCCTCCTTCTCAACACCAGTGGTGAGTTTCCAGAAGGCATCGCAGTGCTCTGTACACAGGTCGCTTCCGACGAGGCTGCCTGGAGAAGTTCTGGAACGAGCCCGCACATCTCAGGAAAGCCAGTCTACACGGCCCATTCCCCTGCCCAGGAGGCGCGTCTTCCCTCTCGGCAGCATGACTACTGGGGACAGATCCCCCGCCATCCTGTGTGTCCCTCTAGCCTGTTCAGGAAGGTGGCTGTTCAGGGGGTCAGAGGCTGTCCCCAGCACCGGCCGGCTCTCCGAGGAGCCCTCCCCACGTCTGGCTCCTGCCCTGCTCAGCCATGGCACCCCTGGGCGCTGCAGGCTGTGGTGCGGGAGCCTTCCCCAGCGGGACCCTAGAGATGATCGTGAGCATCCTTGTTCCCAGGATGTGCTCCGCTTCCCAAAGTGCAGGAACACTTGGTCCTGTCCAAACCCGACCTTAAAGCTCCGTCGGGTCCCTGCCCTGGAGACGTTGTGGGTCTGCAGGGGGAGCCCGCGCCTCGCCCTGAATCAGGACTTGCTGGCCAGTGAGGGCTGAGCTCCCCGCAGCATTTCCATTCCTGGATGTGTCCCAGTCCAGGCAGGGCACCCGTGAGGGACCCCACCATCCAAGCCCCGTGGCACCGCAGTGTTGGAGGCCACGAGGGGACTGGAGCGTTTCTCCTCCTCCAGAGAAACCAAAGCCATCTTTAGCTCAAGAGCGTCCCCCCTTGAACCCTAGAGAGGGGACGTGTGTCATTCCCATCACCCCTTTCCTAGCCACCTTTAGGACGGTGTCGCCCTCCTGTGTGTGGCTGAGGCCCACCTCCCTACACCGAAAGAACGTGTGGCCTTTCCTTCCAGCGCAGCGTCTCGGAGAACTCCCTCGTGGCCATGGACTTTTCCGGGCAAACAGGAAGAGTGATCGAGAACCCGGCCGAAGCCCAGAGCGCAGCCCTGGAGGAAGGCCACGCCTGGAGGGTGAGGGCAGGCCCCGTCGTGGGTGGCACCCCTGCTGGTCTCCCAGAAGGGTGACCCTCCCTGGGGGTGTCGTCGGTGGGGAGGGTGGCGTCTGAGGCTCAGATGCGGGAAGCGGTTGGTGCGTGGGGCTCCTCTGCGTCCCTAGCGCCCACTGCCCCCACTGGCTCCCGGAGGAAGCGCAGGACGGGTGCAGAGCCCTCTGACCTCCTGGGCCCCCCTCAGAGCTGTTCTTGCTGGTGGGCGGTCTGTGGCCGCCTGTGGGCAGCACGGAGCCCACCCTGACTGGGCCGGGAGGCCTTCCACATCGTGGCTCAACCACTAACCGGCTTTGTGGCCCCAAACGGTCCCTTCCTCGGGAGACTCATGTTCTGATCTCCAGAAATCAGAATATGCCCCTGATTGCAGGCTTCCTGAGATTTACAGACAGTGTATCAACCAGAAAGCTCACTGAACCTGGGCTTCGGGGTGTGTGGGGAACTCCCCGGAGGCCCGTGTCTTCAGGCCTGCCTCCGTTCAGTGGAAAACCCCACGCTTTTCTCCCAAAACTCACCAGGAGTTTCACTGCGTGTGCCTCCCGTGTGAGAAACGAGTCTCTGCTTCAATGCTGGGATCTTACGAATTCCCCAGGAAGCTTCTGTGTTTAAAACCATGGTCAGAGGGCGCCTGGGTGGCTCAGTCGGTTCAGCATCCGACTTTGGCTCAGGTCATGATCTCACGGTTCATAGGTTCAAGCCCCGCGTCTGGCTCTGTGCTGATGGCTCAGAACCCGCTTCAGATCCTCTGCCCATGTTCACGCTCTCTCCCTCAAAAATGAATTAAAAAACATTAAAAAGAACAGCAACTGTGGACAGACACAGAGGGTGGCAGGTGGCTGTTGCTCCGTGGTCAAGGGCCTGGGCATCTTTTCCCGCCCCGGGGTGCATGTGCTCATCCAGCCTCCGTCGTGGCGCTAACCCGGACATTTCCTCCACAGAAACGGAGCACGCGGATAAATGTCCTCAGCAGCCAAAGTCCCCTCCACCCCTCTACCCTGAGCACAGGTAAGCACAGCATGCAGCCTGATCCTTTGCCACTTAAAGAAAAGGAAGCTGCTCCCGTCCCCCACCCCCACCCCCCCGAGCTCCCCCGAACCATCCAGGCCCCACGTGCACCACGAGAGGTGTGGCCTTGAGGACCGGGGCCCCGCGCTGATCACGAGCATGCTGTCAGTGCCTTCACGGAAGCCCGTGCCGCAGACGGCCCAGGACCTTACCTCCCCCCTTTCCCCCCGCAGTGATTCATCGGACACAGCACTGGTTCCACGGCCGCATCTCCAGGGAGGAGTCGCACAGGATCATTAAACAGCAGGGGCTGGTGGACGGGTAAGGAGGCGCTGGCCATGAGGGGGCGTCTGCTGTGGTTCTGCTATGTTGGGCACGTGTTGCCCGAAGATCCGGGGTGGCAGGCAGTCCTTAGAGCCTCCTTTGAAGGAGGAGGAGACAAGGCTCAGGGTCCGCGTGGCTCAGGGTCCGCGTGGCTCAGGGTCTGCGTGGCTCAGGGCGGGCACAGCTAGCGAGTGTGGCCGAAGGGAGGGTTGTAACCCACTCTGTCCACCCATCCATCACCAGGCTCTGCCTCTTTGCTGAAATGTAGACAGAGAACACCGGTTGGGGGGGGCGGTGATATTTCGAGAGAGAGGGTCCATGTCAGCAGGGGAGGGGCGGAGAGAGAGAATCCCAAGCAGGATCTACGCTGTCAGCAGAGAGCCCAGCGTCCAGACTCACAAACCGTGAGATCATGACCTGAGTTGCAACCAAGAGTCGGACGCTCAACCGCCTGAGCCCCCCAGGCGCTCCACAAGCCAGTTACTTTTTGCTAATAAAGCAGTGGCCTTGGAAGAAAACTAGTTCTGCCTACCCCTTTTCACCGTACGCATTTTATCAGCCAGCTTGTGCTGAGAACAAACAGCCACGGACTCTGGTGGCTTCAGGCCACAAAGATGTATCATTTCTCACAGTGGGAGTCGGTGGAGCGGTGTCCTCACCTGGGCCAGCCGGGGGCCAGGTAGGCTGGTGTGGCTGCTGGATGCGGAGGTGGGGCGACTGGGCGCGTGTGCCAGGTGATTAGCCTGGGGTCACTCACCCTGGGGCCGTTACGGGGTCCCAGGAGTAGGAGAGATCAAACCCCAGTGCACAGGTACTTTTAGGAGCTAATATCCCATGGGCCGCCACACCCCCCCAAGCTTTGCTCAGCATGGCCCTGGGAAGGGGCTGCCCAGGGGCTCGGATGTAGGCTTGTGAGCAAGCCTCTGTCCCTGCCACCTCTCTTCTCCCAGCAGGAGACCTCTGGGTTCCCTGCCTTTCCTCTTTTAAAAGTTTCATTACGGAAATTTAAAAAGTTACCCAAGAGAGAAGAATGTAGTGAGTTTCCATTTAATCCTCCTCTGGTTTTATCACTTTCAGTCTGTTTCCCTTCCCACCCTTGTTGATTCCTCCCCCACCCTCCTCCCTCCACCTTCTGGAATATTTTTAAATGAAATCCCAGACATTCCAAATTGTTTACCAGTAAACTTAGTGTGTCTCTAAAAAATAAAGACCTCTGTCTTCTGACACAGCCACAAAATCATTGTTACTCTTAATGAAATAAGCAAGAATTCCTTAATATCATCTACAATCCAGTCTGTGTTCAAATTTCCCTAATTGTTGCCCCTCCAAAAAAATCCTTTAAATTGAGCTGGTTCAAATCGGGACCGACAAATTGCCTTCGGTTGTTAGATCTCTTGGGTCTCCTCAGAGATGAAGGCTCCCTCCGCTCTTCTTCTCTGGCTGTTTCTCGCGAGTCTGTGTGGTGGGCGAGTGGGTGGGTTGCTAGGCACATACTGCGGTTTCCTCAGATACCCTCCTCTGTCTTCCTGTTCCCTGTGACGCGGTAGATGGCGGCTTGATGAGCCTCGATGATTTCTTCCAGGCAGGGCTGAGTGTTGTCCTCTGTAGGTGAGAAGCGCAGCCGTCTGGTGTTGTCCTGCTTGGGGAACCTGGGTTTGGGCTGGGGGCCCCTGATGGGGTTGTCGTCTCCATTCCCCGAATGGACTGGGCTCAGCGCTCACTGGGGGTCCGAAGGTGTCCCCTCCCCATTCTATTCCTTCATCATTTCTCAGCTCAGTTCTCTCTGTCATCGTAGATTTGGTGTCCCAGCCAAGGAAGCTAAATGCTCGACTTTTCTGTTTTTCTGGTCAATTTTTGGAATGATGATTTGGTCTTCTACCACCATCTCATGGTGACAGATGAGCTGTCATTGTTTCAAACTATGATTATGTACTTAGGTTCTTAAGTGCTTGATTTATTTCAGCCAAAACTTATTTTCCTTAATGCTCAGTGTGCCTTCTCTTTGGCCGATGGGACCTCTTCCAAGTGCATCCCTGAGTTCTTTTGATGCAAAACACGTTTGGTTTGGTTCCAGGTGTGACGAGATCCGTTCAGCGCCCATGAATGTTTCTCCTCGGAGCCTAATTCTTCCTAGTGGCAAATGCTACTGGGACACCACCATCCCTAGGTCTTTTCCAGGGACAGGGCAGGATGTAGGCTTTTTTAAATAGTGAAAAATAAATTATGGGTTCACATTGAGACTGCCCATTCAGGTGGAAGATTACAGGGTGTTTCCTTTGATTTCACTGTACCCCTTTTCTCTTACTCTGAAAATCTTACTGAAGACGGAATTATTTGTAAGTACTTATTTGCTGTGTCCCATAAAACATCCTGAAAATAGTGACACTGATCTCCCTTCGGTGAGTCTGCTGAGTTCACATTTCCTTGTGGCCCGTTTAATCCTCTGGGCATGGTCTAGGCTGGTCCTGTGGACGAACCAGGTGTAAAGTGTTTCCTCTCTGTGGTGCTGGCAGCAAACCGTTCTGTTGTTGGTGAGGCTCCTGTGTCTCTGTGTGTTCGACATTTTTGTAAGGGGGTCTGATTGGTTTTCTCACTCTTTTTTTTTTAATGTTTATTTATTTTTGAGAGAGAGAATGAGCAGGGGAAGGGCAGAGAGAGAGAGGGAGACACAGAATCCGAAGCAGGCTCTGAGCTATCAGCACAGAGCCCGACATGGGGCTCGAACCCACAAACTGTAGAAATCATGACCTGAGCCGAAGTCAGACGCTCAACCACCTGAGCCACCCAGGCGCCCCTGTGCCTCTTAAAAAAAAAAAATTGTCTTTTCACCACTTCCTAGAGTCCTTGTTGGCAAGGTTTCCGTCGTTTCAGACCTGGTGACAGGTCTGAGAGTCCCCTCTGTCCCCTTCCCTCCTCCAAACACACCCTCCTGGCGGCGTCTGCCCTGTTCAGAAGCAGGAGTTTCTTGCTGGTACAGTTTGCAGCCTGGACATCAGGCTGGCGGGTTGTGGCAAGAACATGACTCCGGCTGAGGGACCCGTTGAGATGTTTGCCCTGGTGCCAGACCCCGGCCACTCCTGGGCGCTTAGGGAGGAATCGTGTTTGTGAAAGAAGGCAGATTAAATCATCGATTCTGAACCTTTACTGGTCCCGGGCCAGTTTAGAGAGTCCATTGGCAGAAAGAAAGTGACCCCGAAGGCAGCACTGGCCTGAATTACACATGGCGCCGGGCAGACAGGGCCAGAGGGAGACAGTGCAGCCTGGAAACGTGGGAGGGGTCTTGCAGATCCCCACTTTCCAGGTGGCCCCTCACACGGGTGGCTGTGTGCGTACCTGCCTGTGTGTGTGAGTGCGCCTGTGTGTGTGTGTGGTGTGTCTGTACGCCCTTGTGCGGTCGTGTGTGTGTGTGTACCTGTGTGTCTGAATGTGTGTGTGCTTGTATGTATTGGGTGTCTATGTGCCCTTGTGCAGCCGTGTGTATGTGTGTACCGTGTGTGAATGCACATGTGTGTGTGTGTCTGTATGGCCCATGTGTGTTCCTGTGTGCCCAAATGCACAAAATGTGTGCATGTGTGCATGGGCAGGTGTGTGCACGCACACCCCCCCGCCCCCCCCCCCCCCCCCCCCCCCCCCCCGCCCACAGCCCATCGCACAACCTGGAGAAGGATCCTTCCGGGGGCAAGCCTCCCTGTGTCTCCTCTCTGCTAAATTACCCCCTGCACATTCTGGCTCTGTCCCCCCCACCCCCACCCCTACCCCTCCTCAGGCCCCAGTCTCCACCTCCCTGTGTGCACTCCATTTTCCCCTGGGTGGAAGGAAACGTCTTTGTCCAGATTTGAGGTCTTTGTAGCTTTCCGGTCCCCCAGGGCAGAGAGAGGGGTCCTGTCCCGGGGCTAACGCTGCACGTGGCCACAGCCATAGCAGGGCACCCCAGCCACGGCCACATCGTCTGTACAGCCTCCTCACAGTTTACCAGTGGCCCTGTGCATCACACACCGGCTGTGTGACCCTGGGGCATCTGCTAACCTCTCTGTGCCCCGCTTTCCTTGTCATGAAATGAGGACGAGACGCCTGGGTGGCGCCATTGGTTGAGCAACTGACTCTTGATTTAGGCTGAGTTATGAGCCCCAGGGTCCTGGGATGGAGCCCCACGTCACAGTGTGGAGCCTGCTTGGGATTCTCTCTCTCCCTCCTCCTCTCCCCTGCTCGCAGTCTCTCTCTCTCTCTAAAAGAATAGAAGAAAAGAGAGAGAGAGAAAGAAATGAGGACACGACAGGGTCACCATTGGCCCTGAATGAGCCCATGTGTGCAGTGCCCCTGACCGTGCTGTGACCCGGATCACGGTCGGGCCCTGGCCCGGCCCCCTCTCCGTTCACGAGCGTGCTGGCGAGCACATCTCAGGGAGCCCCTCCCCCCGCCTGTCCTCATCACTTTCTTCTCTGTGCTGCATTCACGGCCTCCTGACCCGGCCGCACGTGTGACACATGCAGTGCTCCCCGCAGCCTGGCCCTACACGGGGTCTGCGGCTTGCTGGTGGCTGTCGCTGTCCCCTCGGGCTTCTGCGGGCACGTGCTGTCATGCGCGGCTCCGTCTCCCCGGCGTCGTCTCCTCGTCGGGGCTGTGGGACGGGCGTCCTGGAGCTGACCTGTGGCAGGAGCGCACTTTTCACCGCACAGGCGTCCCGGAGTTAGCAGTCACTGCCGGCAGGTGGCCGTTGGGTATGACCTGTAAAACCCAAGCCTGTGGCTGGAAATCTCGGGATTTCCCAGGGTCGAGCCCAAACCCAGGCTGCGGGCCAGCGTCTGTTCCCCTGGCTACTCCGGGGCCACGTTCAGCCTGCAGCTCCCTGTCTGTGGAAGGAGGGGACAGGGAGCTAACTCAGGTGACAGGTGACAGAGGGACACCCAGTTTTCCCTGTCAGCCTAGAGCCCCAGGAGCTCCTGGGCTTCTCCCAGTGGGATGGCCTGTTTGGGATGAAATCACCCCAAAGGCAGATCTTTGATGCAGATGAAGAACCGGGTGTGCGGCTCTGCGCTGGAGAAGGGGGTAGACCCCCGGCCCCCTCGAGGTGCCGTGTGACACCCACACCCACGCAGGGGCCGCGATTATTGGCACTGTCGCCCCTGCCCACCCCTCGAGTTGTGCAACTCCGCTCTGGTTGGCATCTCCCAGATGGTGTTCTGAAGAGCACACCTTCTGGAAATTCTAGAACAAAAAGGGTGTGTGGTCTGATAAGACTGGAAAACTCTGCTGGAGCCCCCGGGCGCTCATGGTGAACATTCCCATATTAAAGACTCTGAGAAGACCTGTAGTAAAATGAAACATTTCTTTGCCTTTAAAAAAAAAGTATTTATTTTTGAGAGAGAGAGAACACAAGCTGGGGAGGGAGAGAGAGAGAGAGAGAGAGAGAGGGAGAATCCCAAGCTCTGCATAGTTTGCAGGCTCTGGACTGTGAACATGGAGCCTGACGAAGGGCTCGATCCCATGACCCTGGGATCATGACGTTGAGTCGAAATCAAGATTCAGGGGCGCCTGGGTGGCTTAGTCGGTTAAGCGTCTGACTTTCGCTTAGGTCATGATCTCGCGGTTCGTGGGTTCGAGCCCCACGTTGGGCTCTGTGCTGACTGCCAGCTCAGAGCCTGGAGCCTGCTTCAGATTCTGTGTCTCCCTCTCTCTCTGACTCTCCCCTGCTCACGCTGTCTCTCTCTCTCTCTCCTAGAAATAAAACATTAAAAAAAAAAATCAAGATTCAGACACTTAACTGACTGAGCCACCCAGGCGCCCCTTCTTTGCCTCTTTAATACAGGACTTTCAAGTCTAGTTTAGCTGCTTTCCATCTTAACACTTCAGTCCAGGAACTGATGGCTTCGCTGGTGACTCGGAGTTTGGTTTTAGTACCTTTGAAAAGCAGGGTTATGTCCGCGTGGCTTGAGTTCTGCTGCTGGGACATCATTCTCTTCCTGCCTCAGGTGCGTTAACTGTCTTCCCGGCCACTGCCAGGTGTGCCCGTGTGAAAGCGAAGAGGGGTACTGCTTTCTGCTGTTCTGACTTACACTTATTTTTTACCCTGAAATAACCTCCAATTGTGGAAAAGCCGCCAGAGGAATGTAGTGAATTCCTGTGTGCGTTTTCTTAGATTCCCTAGCCGTCAACATTGTGGCCTGTTTGCTTTAGCTTAGTCTCTCTCCCCACCTCCCGCCTCCTTTTTTTGTCTGAATCATTGGGAGTTAGTGACAGCATGACATTCCTTGTATCCTACTTCCCCAATAGGAAATTTCTAAGAACAAGGACTTAGTACATAACCAGAGTACCGTTAGAAAAACTAGGGAGTGGGGGTGCCTGAGTGGCTCAGTCGTTTAAGCGTCCCACTTCAGCTCAGGTCATGATCTTGGAATTCGTGGGCTCTGTGCTGACAGCTTGGAGCCTGGAGCCTTCGGATTCTGTGTTTCCCTCTCTCTCTGCCCCTCCCCTGCTCGCACTCTGTGTCTCTCTTTCTAAAAAAATAAACATTAAAAAAAAAAATTTTTTTTTTTTAAATCAGGAAGTAAACATCCATGGGGTTCTGTTACCCAGTGCACACACTTACTCTCTTTTCTGATTACTCCATTGTGGAAAAAGAAAAGAAAAACTTATTCATTCTTTTTTTTTTATTTCTTTCTAGGAGAGAGAGAGAGACAGCATGAGCAGGGGAGGGTCAGAGAGAGAGGGAGACACAGACTCTGAAACAGGCTCCAGGCTCTGGGCTGGCAGTCAGCACAGAGCCCGATGCGGGGCTCGAAGCCACGCACCGTGAGATCATGACCTAAGCAAAAGTCGGACGCTTAACCGACTAAGCCACCCAGGCGCCCCAAACTTATTCATTCTTAATACTTCCTGTGTGGCGTGACTCTTCAACATTTCCGTCCTTTGTTGACGGTCTGGGAAGATGCCATCACTGCAGACAGAGTGCGCCTCGGCTCGGGGGCGTCTGGTCGCTTGGGGTTCAGCTGGGTCACCACTTTGCAGGAAGGAACATCGAGTCACTGGCGGTGCAGGGTCGGGATGCCTGTCTCCTTCCCGGTGGTGGAAAACTTGAATACTTGGTGGTGACAGGACCTACCTGGTGTCTCTGACAGTCACTGTGTTTTCCTTTGTAACAAACACATATCAGAGAGATGATGGTTTGAGACTGAAAATACTCTGTTTCTCACCAAATTTCATCTGCTGATGCTCACGCCCTTTACAATCTCCTTGATCGGTGGTAAGTAACGTGCCAGCCGGTGTCGAGCCCTTTATCCCTGGGCTATTTATCTTCCTTTCTGCTCTGAGGAAGAGCTTTCTCTTCTCCCCTCTTAATTTCCTAGCCTGTTTACTTGTAATATTTGCATGTACTTGCAGGTTCCTGTTTGATTCTCGGGGTTATAATCTGTCACTTCTGATAGTTGCTCTAATGCTGCCTCCTGGATCATGACCTTTTGAACGTGATTACTTTCCGGCACAGAACGTTCCAGCCACAGCGTATACTTTCCCTGCTGTGGCCCTAGAGTCTGCCGCGTCTACAGGGAGTGCTAGGTCCTTTCAGAGGAGGGTCGCCGCCAGCCTATCAGCAGGAGCAGGGAAATGTGCCAGCGTCCATGTGCATGCACGTCCGTGTGCGCGCATTCACGTATGCGTCTAAAACGTCTGCGTTTTTAAACTTCACCATCAGCTGATGTTTTTCCATCCCCAGGCTTTTTCTCCTCCGAGACAGCCAGAGCAATCCAAAGGCTTTTGTGCTCACGCTGTGTCATCATCAGAAAATTAAAAATTTCCAGATCTTACCTGTAAGTATCGGTCCCGCCACACCAAGCCTCATTTTTGCTCTTGTTTTCTGGGTCTGCGCTTCCCACAGTGTTCAGATTACAAACTAACCGAACTACAACTCGATAGGTATCAGATGGGCCCAAGCTCACAAGGGGGATATTCGCAAGAGTCTCTTGACGGGCTCGTTGTTTGAAATTGGGGACGGCACTTGGTAGAAATATCATTAACAATGGTGGCGTTGCACTGAGGCCCACCCGCACTGTAGCTGACTCGGCACGGATGGGAAGAGCCAGGTCAGGTGGTGGGTGGATATACTGCAAGCCCAGGAGCCTGACGCCAGGGGCATGGATGGCATAAGACCTGTGTTTATGGTGGATTGGACTCTTGGCCACTCACATCTGAGGACTTCTCTGATTTATGCTGGCTCTGATTTATGGTGTACCTAGTGACCCAAGAAGGTTGTAGAAACACTGGCCTGTGGTCACATGGCCCCCAAAGAGAAATTGCCTCACACATCCACTCTGTCCTTGGATCAGAAAACAGGGGCACCTGGGTGGCTCAGTCGGTTATGCATCCCACTTTGACACCAGTCACAATCTCGCAGTTCGTGGGTTCAACTCCTGCGTCAGCTCAGAGCCTGGAGCCTGCTTCAGATTCTCTGTCTCCCTCTCTCTCTGCCCCCTCCCCCACTCATGCCCAGTCTCTCTCTCAAAAATAAATGTTAAAAAAAAAAAAAAAGAATAGAAAAGAAACAGAGTCTACCTTTGAACAATTCTGAAAACATCATCACCAAATGCTTCGGCACTATTTTTTTTAAACAAATCATTGTTAGATTTTTCAAATGTAAGTTCTTTCTTTCTTTGGTGTGTCAAAGCTCAGATTCCGGTTCATGCCGAGCGCTAATGTGGGAGGTGGAAGTCCCCACCTCCATGAATCCACCATTCAGTTGGGGATAATAAAAACTTGATGTGAGGTGTTTTACATAATTAAGTGATAGATTCTGCAGGGACAGTAACGTCCCCGAAGTGTTTGCTGTGGGGCCCAAGCCCAGGAAATATTCTGCTGAAGAGGGCAGTGAGGTCTTTTCCTGTCTGGGGATCAGTCTGTCCAGTGGCCATGGAAAGCTCTAGAAGGCTTGGCAGAACTGACTGCATGTGCTTCACACCGTTGAGCCTGGTGTTTAGCATCCCAGGAGTCACACAGAGCAGGAAGCGCGGGCTGGAGAAGCCCTGGGCCGTCTGGGTAGCTTTCATGGACCTGAGCGAGCCACCGACTGGGCGCTTCCTGCAATGCCCTCGTTCTATAGATAAGGACAGGGAGAGCCCGCCCTGGGCCGCACCGCGAGGAAGGGACCGGGTCTGGCCCCGAGGCCGGGCCTCCCCGAGTCCACAAACCATCCTGTGCACACCTGGGAATTGGCAGCTAAGGAGACCTCTTTGTCCATGGTTTGTTCTGTCATCGACACAGACCTCGTTCTCTTTGCCTGAGATCTAAACTCAAGTGAAAACATATCTTAATGTCGGGCACAGTGGGTAATGCCCTTTTCCCAAAGAGCCCTGAATTCCAGAAGTTATCAGGGGCCCAGTAGCTTGAGACTTAGAGCAGCCAGAGTGGCCTTGGTGCTTGAAAATGGGATGTGCGCGTCCAGCAGTACTTGGGAGTCCGGAAGCCGTTCTGGCTTTACTCAGAGATTTCGAGCCAGTTTGCTCCATGAATATGACAGCCCTGCAGCTCTTTTTTGTTCAGTGTTTATTTTGAGAGAGAGAGAGTGGGGGAAGGGCAGAGAGAGAGCATGCCAAGCAGGTTCCACACCACCGAACAGAGCCCTACTGGAGGCTCCACCTCAGGAACAGCGAGATCATGACCTGAGCCAAGGCACCCAGAGTCTGATGCTCAACCGGCTGAGCCGCCTGGGCGCCTCAGCTCTGCAGTCCTTGAATGGAACGTTCATCGGGCTCAAACTGGTATTAGGGAGGTTGTTCGTTCGGGGAGGTACATGGAGTGCCCCCTCCCCCCTCCCCAGCCCCTGCTTTAGATGAGGAGCTGGGAAGGCACTCTTTGCAACTGCTCTTACTGACGGCCTTGGGGTGACCCCAGGCTGCACCGCTGGGCTCCCCGAGGCGCGGCCGCTAACGTGGCCGGTGTTCTTGTGTCCCCGTAGTGCGAGGAGGACGGGCAGGTATTCTTCAGCCTTGACGACGGGAACACCAAATTCTCCGACCTGATCCAGCTCGTGGACTTCTACCAGCTCAACAAAGGAGTCCTGCCTTGCAAACTGAAGCATCACTGCATCCGAGTGGCCTTATGACCTCACACGGACTCTCGGCGAAGACGGGGAAGCTGACACTGGACCGAGGGAAGGGGATGTGCGTCGCGGAGAGCACACGTCTGTTCTGCACCCTGGGTGGGGTGGGGGCGGGGGGCGGTCCGTCGGAGCCGCCCGCCGGGACGGATCGGTGTCCGGCCTGGATGGCGGTGATTTGCTGCTGCGGAGCCGGCGGGAGCACCTCCCTTGGCGCCGGCGACATCAGGGAGGCGCGGGTGGAGAGGAAGCCGGCGCGGCGGCCTCGGCCCGGCCACGTGGCGCGAGAGCCGGAGACGAGTAATTGGAAATGAACTCTTGCCCTGGAATAATCTTGACAATTAAAACTGATATGTTTACTTTTTTGTATCGATCACTTTTTGCACTCCTTCTTGGTTCTCCACGTTGTGCTCAGCCTCTGTCGGAGGGGCGTGGCGCCTGCGGGGGCAGGTGGCTCCGGCCTGAGCCCGCGCTCCGGAGACTGACCCGGGGCCCGCCGCGTGCAGGGGCCGCGGGCGGACTCGGCTTCCGGGTAACTAACCACCCCCAGCCCTTCCACGAATACTTGAAGAGCTTCTTTTTAAAAAAACAAAGGGCGTCACCTGCGGCGGGCATTTGGCACGTTTTGTGGACCCAGGCAACCACGTCTGTCGGCCCCTTTCCCTGCGCGCAGGTGTCCTGCGCGCTGTCACCAGTATGTCGTGTCCTCCACAGTTCAGGAGACCTGGGGGTGTTTTTGGGGAAACGTGTCCCCCCATGACACAGTGGACCCTAGCTGGACGCGGGGGGCGTCCCGGGACACAGCGGGCACCCCGTGTGTGCCGCTGGGGGCCGCCCTCTCCGCCTGTTCTAGGGCAGTCCGCTGCCTTATCCCCCACCCCCCGCAGCGGCTGGGCCCGTCCCTCCCGGGGTTGAAGGATCTAAAAGGAAAATGATGGTTGGCTTTCCGCTGTGGCCCCTGGGTTTCTCTAGTGATGAAGACAGAAACAGTGGAAAGGGCACCTCTGCAGCCTGGCATTTAAAGGTCTTCAATCGATGGCCTCCCATCCTGCTGAAAACCGTGGGCTGGTGCACGCGGGGCCTTGGCCTTGGCCGGCTGGCTCTCAAAAGTACCTCACAGCAGTTGTGGGCATTGAAGAATCTTAATAAGGCAACACTGCTTCCCCCTCTGGGGGGCTGAGTCACACGGGGGGGAGGGAGGAGGGCTGGAGTGTCCCTCCGCCCTGCCCCTGAGTGGAGTCACCAGGTGGGAGAGTGGCCTTGTCCTTCCCTTCAGTCTCTGCAGAGCAGAAAGGTCTCCCTTGACAGGTGTACAGGCCACTGTGGTGAAAATGGTCCCCTTTTCTGAGATCAGTCGCCATGCATGACTGGGCCTCTGGATGGGTGCCAGCCACTAGGTGGCCTGGCCGGGACCCAGCACCGTGCCCCAGAGGAATGTGCCCACGATGTGGGACACACGTGGCCAGCTCCAGTGACACAGACGCCCCAAAGGAAGGCTCTCTAGGGTCTAGAAACACTGTATCTCGCTTTACAGGGCTCACTCCACTCGTCTTCCGTGAAACGTCTGCCTACACAAAGACAGACTTGGTAGTACAGCGTTTTGAACCACGAACGCTCAGCTGCGTTTTCTTCCTTCTGTAGCCAGTTCTGTCTTTCAGACCAGGGACAAGTAGGGAATTCTCAAGTCCTACCTGGCAGCAAGCTTCTGGTGCCCTTCACCTTGAGTGGCTCTTTTTTCACACTGTTAGACAACGCCAGACATTTTTCTCTTCACCGGTTGGAAATCGAACCTTAAAAAAATTCTATGATTTCTTTCTTTTTCTTTTTTGCTCTTTACATAAACCAGTAAGATGAGACTCTCACGGCCCTCTCCGATGGCATCCACAGCATTTTGTATTTATAAACCTGCGTTTTCTTTAAAAGGAAGACAAAAGCTGTCCTCTGATGCACAGTGTGTATGTGTTGCTGGTTTGATGTAGTCTCTTGGACCTCCCTGGCTGCAGTGAAATGCTGGAGGGTGTCAGACCTCCCCCCGCCCCCCCAAGCCTACAGCTGTGTCACCGCTCTGCCTGGTGGCTGGGAGTTCCCTCCAAGAGGAGCCAGTCCCTCGAGGATGCAGGCATCCGGCCCGGCGACCCAGGGACTGAAGGGCGTTTGAGTTTTATTTTTATATTTAGATGACATGAATGTAAACGGAACAGCTCAGGGTCATTTTAGAGCCTGTTGACTTTTTTAATCTCTCTGCCTGTGATTTCCCTCTGTGAAATGAAAACCCCACGCAGCACCCTGGACTTTGTTGGGAAGGAAATACCAAATGCTTCGGGGATTTGAGTGTTCCTAGGTGAGCTCTGTCACCCTCAGTCGTAGAGTTCCAGAACGTTGTTTTTGTTTGCTAAACCTTGAAGAGAATATGTGCCTCAGCCTAGCTGTTTTGTCCTCTCTTTTCTGCACTTAATACCTGATGGTTTGACCAAGAGACACACCTTTGTGGGGCGGGACCTGCTCGCGGTGGATCATGATGTCACAGCACTGGCGGCAGTGACCACAGTGTGGCCTGATCTGTACACGTTTTCAGGGAATGCGGAAAGTGTTAAGAGACAAAACCTTTATTCCACGTGCTTTCCTCCTTTCTGTACATAGCTCTTCGGCTTGTGAACCTAATTGTAAACGTTCAGGTATTTTTGTACAAATAACGGACTGATGTTCTGTTTCTTGTAATTAGAAATAAACGTTACTACGGTGTTCTTCATTTTCCACGGCTCTTGTGTGCGTTTCTGTGTCTTGAGACCCCGCAGCTGGCCAGGCACTGAAACCCTTTGGAGAACATGTAGAATACGAGCAGTGCACTTCGTGACCCCGGCCAAGCACTCGTTGGAAAGGAATCAACGTGTGACACACACACCCGCGAGGCCCTATTGAGACTCTGGACTTGGGTGACACAGGCCGGTGGCCCCGTGGTGGTGCCAGGATCTTCCCGGCGGCCTCTTCTCCCTGTATCCCCACCGCAGAGTCGCACACCTCGGGGTGCTTCAGATCTCAGGCTTCGCAAACACCTCAATATACTCATGAATGTTTGCATTTGAGAAATCCAGGGGCTCTGTTCCCACTGCGGTGAGACAGATCTGGGTTGTCTAGTCTAATTAGAGATTGGTAGAAAGGTCAAGAGAATGGATGCCGCGTGTCTCAGCTTCCCCAGGACCTCACCCGAGGGACCCTGGTGGCCGTACCGCATACCCACACTCAGGCCTGACTCCCTGCCTCCCGCCCCACCTGGGGCAGAGTGAAGGAGATGAACAGGTGGAGCGAAAGGGCCAACTTGATCTTGCTGCCTGGGTCGTTTTTGTTATTGGTTGTTAAAACATATTTTGAGTGATGACTAAAACCACAGGAAGGGATTTTAATAATAAAAAAAAATTAGCTTGTTAACTGTCAAAAGTAAACTATCTTACAGCTTTGGGTTTTCCAATGGTAAACTCAATATCCCCCCTTCTCATACCGGAAATCGTACATTAACGAGAAGGATCCCCCCTTCTCATACCGGAAGTCGTATGTTAACAAGAAGGATCCCCCCTTCTCATACCCGAAGTCGTAAATTAACAAGAAGGGCAGGAAACCATGAAACCTCCCATCTTGCAAAGTTAGGCTCTGTCTGTCATCCCACAGTAGATGACAGGGTCTGCTCACCGGGGTGGCAAAGACCAAGGACAGACACCCGTGGCTGCAGGTCTCAGCATGGCCACCAGAGGGCGCTCCAGGACACATGCATCCTTTCTGGGAAGCTGAGACTAGGCCCAGGGTTGACCTTGGTAGATCGGAGTCATCCCCCACCTTCACTCTGTAGGTACATCAACATCTTGTTTGACTGCTGGGACTGTTTCCTGAATTACGTCTGCGTATATTTTTGCCCCGTCACTGCATAGCGCAGGGCTTTTTACAGAGATAGCAATTATGTGTGTGTTGGGTCCCCGGACCTGCATTCCAACACCTTTGCTTTTTCTCACACCCTCTTGACGCATTGCCCTTTGGCTGGTCTACTGTGGCTCTGGCCTGTCCTCTGTGTCACTAGGGTGTTTCTGCCAGATCCCTTCCCCTGCGGCCTCCATCCTGACTCCACTGCCAGGAAGTCTGTGTGTGGCTCTCTTGCTTCTCTTTAATGTGTGTGTGTGTGTGTGTGTGTGTGTGTGTGTGTTGAGAGAGAGTGAGAGAGAGCAGGGGCGGGGAGGGGCACAGAGAGGAGAGAGAGAATCCCAAGCAGGCTCTGTGATGTCAGGGTGAGGAGCCCCATGTGGGGCTCGATCCCGTGAACCGTGAGATCCTGACCTGAGCTGAAGTCAAGGGGTGCTTAACCGACTGAGCCCCCCAGGCAGGTCTCTCCCGCTTCCGTTTAGAGCCGTGCCCCTTTCCTTGAATATACTCCTTGAACGCCTGCATCGCTGCTTTGAGCTTCTGTGACGTGGTTGCGTGATTTTTTTTTTTTTAAGTTTGCATTATGTTTGGCTGCAGTTTGAATCTACCCCATGGCAGCGTTTTTCCGGTGAGTGCTCTTTACCATTTGATGTTTCCCCTTTCCTTTTCTCCTTTTATGTTTGGGTGTCTTCACGGAACACTGGTGCTGGTTCTCGGAGTAAGGTGAGTTCTTCCTCCCGGAGGCTCTCTGACCTGGGAACGGAACTGCTTTCAGTCCCTTGCTGCTCTCTCCTTTTGCTTCAGGACATTCTCATGATGCACCAAGGACAAAAGGGAAGACACAGTGTGCATGTGAGTTCCACGACCATGACGACGTAAGCCGTTGGGGTTGATCATCCAACTCACTCTTCTCTTTGCCTCTGGTCACACACACCTTCCAGAGAAATCTAAAATGATACAGTAAGTTGCAAAAGAATATGTTTTTTTCCTTGGTGGCTCTAATGCAAATGACCACAGCATCATGTTGGAGAATTACGGAATTTCATTATCTGAAATAAGAACGATGACAAATCTTAGAGAATAAAAACTCTACGGTAACTATGTACTCACACACACGTGCGTGCGCGTGCTCACCTCATTGTCTATGAGAGCTGTGTCACACAGTGCTCAAAGAGGTGCAGAGTCCAGCTGGGAGGTCTGTGGGGGAACAATGAACGTGGGGATGGCCACAGGTAGACAACGTGGTGTTCTCTAGGTGCGTGCTGTCCAATATGCTACCATGAAGTACACACACCTATTTAAATTTCAATTCTAATTAATAAAAATAGGTTGAAAAGTTCAGTTCCAGGTGGTCCTAACCTGTACACACATTAGGTGCTCAACAGCCACTAGTGGCTGGCAGCTGCCATGGTGACCGGTGCAGATATAGAACATCGCCATCATTGCAGAAAGTTCTGGTTGGTGCTCCGAGTCGGCAAAGCTCAGCCTCAGACCCAAGGCTAAGGGCACCCCCGCCGAAGTCACACCTGTGCCTCAACCCCCGTGGAAGATGCACGCGCTTCCCTTGTCCTATGATAGGATGGCACTGTCCACCACCTTTATGCGGCCTTGGTCCACCTAGCCTTCCCTTATAACTCAGTGGGAATAATTTCGCATCATATGTGTATGTTGTGCATAGAACCTAGCTGTGTCTGCTTGGCCCATCCCCTTCCGCACACCCCCAGGAGTAAAGGACGCTGCCCAATCTGGTATCAACCCACCCCATCTGGTGCCACTCTGGAGTGAGCCAACGCTGGGCGAGTTTCATTTGCTGTGGCCTAGGTTACCCCTGTTAGTGATCATTCCCCCCAGACTGAGTGTAGCATTAGTGCCTAAATATAAAGTGCGTGTTTGAACACAAGGGCCCTCGAGGTAATCAGAAACCACACTGCTCCTCATCCAGAGAAGCGATCCCTTCCGTCCCCGTAGGAGTCAAGATTTAGGACATGTAGGGCAGAATCTAGAACCAGGCCTGACGAGGAATTCTGGCGTCCCTGTTTGTGAGCGAAGGCAGGCCCGTCTGAGGGGAGCACCGTAGGGCTTCTCCTGGCCCACCGGTTCCAAAAGTATGCAATTCTTGGCACATTTTTAAATTAGAGGGAGGGGGGCTTGCATCAGTGTTTCTTTTTGTACAAAAAAAAATGTAGTGGTATTTGTATTTTGTTACTAGGCTCGTTCAGTTTGATAGAAATATGAGTGCACTGTATTTCTGAGATGGTTGAGGCTTCCTCCTAGGGTGATTCTGAACCTAGGTGATCTGCCTCAGTGCTGTGTAAGTCTCGATCCTACTAGAAGATTAGACTCATGAGGAGCACCTGGGAGGCTCAGTCGGTTAAGCTTCTGACTCTTGACTTCGGCTCAGGTCATGATCTCATGGTTCGTGGGTTCAAGCCCCATGTCGGGCTCTGTGCTGACTTGGTGGAGCCTGCTTGGGATTCTCTCTCTCCCTCTCTGTCTCTGCGTCTCCCCTGCTCGCTCGCTCGCTCTCTCTCTCTCTCTCTCTCTCTCTCAAAAAAAAAAAAAAAAAAGATTAGATGCCAAAAACTATGCCAAACTTACGGTCTGACCTAGCAAGGACAAAATGTTCTGTGGCCCCAGGCACCACGTGATTGCGGGGAAGCTCCCACTGGGAAGGGAGATTCTAGAGGCTTTTGAGAGAGCAGTCTTGTGCCCTCTGCCATGTTGTAGCAGCCTATCTTGGGGATGCTGTGGATTTCACCCCCCGCATTTGGAAAGCTCACCTTGGAGGCTTTGAATCTGCTCATCTGTCTCCAAGCCACTTGTAAGCTTCTGGAATTAAAGCCTTGGACTTGGCAATAAAATGCTCGCTCCCAGGGGCGCCTGGGTGGCTTAGTCGGTTAAGCGTCCGACTTTCGCTTAGGTCATGATCTCGCGGTTCGTGGGTTCGAGCCCCGCGTCGGGCTCTGTGCTGACTGCCAGCTCAGAGCCTGGAGCCTGTTTCAGTCTGTGACTCCCTCTCTCTCTGACCCTCCCCTGCTCACGCTGTCTCTCTCTCTCCTAGAAAGAAATAAAACATTTAAAAAAAAATGCTTGCTCCCAGGCCACTACAGGGAAACCAGATAATCTCCAGCTCACAGTCATTTATAGTCCACGCATCTGCTGTATTTTTATCCCTTCCCAACCCATTGGGGGCTTTTTTAGCTTCTAAATGGAGAGGTGTTGGCAGGATCTGTTGAGAAAGGCTGAGGCTTAAATTAGAAGTTCTTGAAGCCGCCCCAGGGAGCACCCCATGGAGAGCAGGGCTGGCACGAGTGCAAAGGCAGGGGCCTATCCCTGACTTCAGCTCAAGTCATGATCTCATGGTTCATGGGTTCATGCCGCATGTTGGGCTCTGTGCTAGCAGCTCGGAGCCTGGAGCCTGCTTCAGATTCTGGGTCTCCCTCTCTCTCTGCCCCTCCCTGCTCACGTGCCGTCTCTCTCTCAAAAATAAACACTAAAAATTTTAAATATATATATAATCAACTGATCTTTGACAAAGGAGCTAAGGCAACGAAATGGATCAAAGATGGTCCCTTCAACTGTTCTTCATGGAACAAGCAGGTGTTTGTATGCGAAACAATGAATCTAGACCCAGACCTCACGCCCTTCACAAACCTTAACTCAATGAGGACCACAGACCTGAATGTAAAAGTGCAAGACTCTAAACCCCCGGAAGGTAGCATAGGGGAAAATCTAGATGAATATAGAATTTGGTAATGACTTTCCAGCTACAACAGCAAAGGGAAGATCCATGAAAGTAAGAATTGACAAGCTGAACCTTAAACTTCACTGAAACTTAAAACACT